TAACAACCTGTTTTTTGTTCTTTCTGTCTTCCCCTTCCAGCCCCGTCTCCCATGACCCAGTTGCGTCAAGATGCAGATTTCTACAGGAATCAAGTGGAAATGCTGAAGGAAGAGGCCGATGAACAACAGCATCGTTCGTCCGAACACTTCCAGGGACAGGTATGTTAATGCAGTTGCCAAAGTAATGTCTTATCATTTTTTTAATAAAATATACATCCGTCGAAGATAAATAACAATTTACAAGTTACCATTATGCGAAACGCCCGTTTAACATATCACTGTTTCACTGAAAGCGCTCAATGGGTTTAAGCAACGCATAGTTTTTNTAGTTTTTTCCTCCGGCTGAAGTGAAAGATATGCTCCTGTTTGGTTAGATAGCTGCAAACACATAACGAGTTCCGCGATCCAAAGCGCAGCAACCCTAAATATCTTTATATCCTATATTGAAGCACCATTCAGCAATGTACTCCAAAAGACCCGTCTTATGTCGTTAAAGTCTATACCAATCCGACTGCCAAGATGAGTCACTGATATACTCTTCGCTCGGAGATGTAGCTATTGCTTGCGCTTCTCTCTACAGGTGACTTCATTCTCTTTTAAGGGTGTGGTGGTTTGCTTGGCACTCGGTTTGTAGGTGAGAAGATGGTTAGGAGGATGGTGATGTACCCTAAAAACGGTCTGAATTGTCGACTTTTTGAATGTACCTTTGATGACAAAATCATTCAGGAGACATAGTTGATCACCTGATCAATTGCATCATTCAATTAAGTATTTTGATCATTCTTTTTCTAAACATATCAGAGTTAAATGACTAATAGGAATCCAATGCATCCCAGTATCATTGTCGTTCCTTAGATGCGTCTGCCCGAGGTTCGTTCGATTGTAAATAGGAACAGCTTAACCATGGATGAATAGTAATCTTCAATGGAACTGTTTAACAGATGATTATGTTCTGTTTCGATTGCGTTAAGGGTACAGGAGCGAAAAGTGTTCCCATTTGGTCACTCCTTATCTCCATCGTTGGTAAAACGAACTAATACGAGTAAAATAAAACATTTTAAAATTCTCATGTTCTCACTATAGTTCAAATTGGACGCTTGAAAGACCACCATAAGGTTTTAATCACCTACAATGAGAACCCTACAAAATCAGATCAAGTCACAAATAAATCTAGCCGATCACCCAGATCTTTGCTCGCAATTGCCAAGGTAGACTGAGATGCAATCATATGACTTGATTTTCGTGAGCGTTATTCAGCTGACCTTCATTTCCTCATTCGGTACGTGTCATTGTCGCTTCGGTTTTAGCCGATCTTTTGCTATAATTGGAAGATTTTAACACAGAATACTTGAATGACTGCAGCGATCCATATGTGATCTAATCATTTCTAAGACTTGTGGAATCAGAACGTGCATTGAGATCAATTATGAACAACCGTGATCTGAATACACGAAGGCCGGTAAAAGATTCTTCGAACGACCGATTGTCATTGAACAGCACGCCTCAGTCGGGCGAGACATAAAACGGGCTATTCTCTTTTGGAGCGATTTAGCACGGTTTCAGTGGTATGGAGGTTCCCGCGGTGACTTTCATATCACAATGAGTATTGTTAGGTACTTTAAACTACTGGCGATTCTGTCGGTAACAACCACCACGTTCATTCCATCGGATCAAATAGCTCCTTACACTGATCAGCTGTTTAAGTGGAACCAAAATTTAGGAGATTGGGCAGATATCTTACGCAAAGAGAATTAACGTTGAATTGATACCAACGAAAATGGGGGAGAATGAACCCAAAATATTTACTCATTATCGTGTGAAAAGCTGGCTGCCTCTAACTACTCTAACTATTCAAACTGGACTAGAATTTTCATAATCCTACATGAATAGTGAAAATTCATAATAGCTAAACTACACTGCACAGATATGAATCTCAGATTACCAATCACTCAATGTCATTGATGCCGTCGTTTTTACTACTATCGTCCTTATTATTATTATTATTATTATTATTATTATTATTTTCTCATTATAATTAAAGTGGTCTCCCCATCATGAATTTAGACTCATTATTCGTTTATCAGAAGTAAATGATATCACGTTCATAAAAGACTTGTTGAACTAAGCATACCGATTTTTTCGTCTACTCAATCGGAAGGAGACCAGAAGTGGGCAAGTGATCTCTCATTGCGATAGCTCTTATCACGCAAAACCTGAATCATGTGTCAAGGTAAGAAGCCAGCACCTGATTTAATTAGTCTGGCCATTCATGTTAGATCGTGGGCACGCACAGATTACCCAGATGATAATCACAGCTTATTGGCAAACACAGAGTATGACAAAGTGATTGAATCACGTGATAGCTTATTTTTATATTCCATTTGGTAAATGGATGAACTATGTGCATCTCTTTTGGCCTGGACAAGGTGAGGTAGCAAAACGCAGAGAAGTGAGCGATTATTTATTATAGTTTCGTAATGAAATCAATACAATTACAGCGGTGAATGTGCTGTTATTCCGTGCTATTAGCTTATTTCTCTCATGAAAACGTCCATGTACTGTTAAATTTCGATGTCCAATTAAAGGGCTGTCGTGTGGTGAAATCACCTGACGTTAGATGGTGGTTGCGGTGCTGGTTGTGAGGAATAGAACACACGAACTCCCGAAACAATGTGATGATATACTCCGTTTCACCATCGTCGTATATTCATACATAGATAAAAACTAATACTAATTTATCGGAATATTTATTTGGTACACATTTTTCGTGGGAAACACCCTATGAAGAGAAAAAGATGTTCAGCACTATGGAACTGTGTTTAGCTTTTGATGGAGTGTGGCAAATCTATGGTTAGTCAAGCTTGAACAACTGAACTCATTTTTTTAAAGGATGGCAGTCACCAACACCAATGTGTGAGCAACCCTAGTTCCCAGGAATACTGAACTAAACTTATACCACTGGTCTGAAGATCACATGCAAAGATGGACAAAAGCGGATTGTGACCACAGTTCTGAGGTCGACCATGTGGCAAAATGTTGTTCATCCAATTTCGGATATCTAACGCGACAGAATCGACCTGGTTTACTCTAACACAACATCTGTCGAGGTTATTTGTACTATTCGGATGAAATCAGTATCAATTTCTCTCCGGTTTCTTTTAATTTTCAACCTTAAGGTCAGTGTCCTCAGCGATCGTGTGGAGCACTTGCAAAGTTTGTTGGCACTTGAATCCAGCAAAGTGGAACGATTGAGTATCGAACTGGAAGAGATGAACAGCACTGTTGCGGAAGCTAAGGCTTACGAACGAAATCTGGAGCATATGGTTAGTCAACTGAGCAAACAATTGGAGCAACGCACCAAAGCTCAAGAACAACCGACTTCGGAGAAACCCAAACCAATCACGCCAGGAGCTGTGGTGGAATCAGACATTGAGGTAGTACCACACCTGTAACATGGTTACTTTTTATTATCCTACTCATAAGTAAGCAACATTGTTCACGAAAATATAACCGATATCCAGGGTAAAACAAACGAAAAGTGAATGTAATGCCTAAGTAAGTGTAAAACATGGCAATGAAATGACAGTGAAATGTATCAGATAACCTTCCATGTCAGCCTAGAACATTTCTATTTATTCAAGGGGCATCACTCTGAACCGCTAACTCAATTAGTCAAAAAGGCTTTAGCGAAGTTTATACTGCAATTGTATGCCTTATACCACCAGCCCTTACATTTCTCCCCGTATATTTGATCAGACAGTTTTTACACACTTATATTTTCCCATATGTGCTTTAAGTCTCCCTGGAGATGTACTACAGTTCATTGTAAAAGCATTTTATTGCACTCGTTAGATCACTCATACATTTATTTGAGCGTCGCAATTGACTCAGGGTTCAAATAATTTCTGGATTTGGATAGACTATACTACATGCAAAGTAGAAAGGGTCTTAACAAAAAGAGATCACCTTGATAATTTTCAATCTAGTTTGATAGTTTGCATCAAAAATGTTAGGCTGAACATTATATTTTTTACACTTCCCCATGGCCGTACCTCAGCCTGGTGTACAACACGAGTTGGAGAAACAGCTGAACTCCTATAGAGAACTCATTGGTCATCTGAGGGCTCATCTGTCAGCCAATCCCAAAGCAATGACTCTGCTAGCCAACACACCGTTTCAACCGGGCGGACAGTTGGATTTGTTCGATGAACCACCCCCACCTGGACAAAACTTCACTCTCGTTACTCCAATTCAGAATCAGAAGTTCTTCGCCAGTCCATCCCCGGTGGATCATATAGACCGGTCAATACCAGGTGACGTGACACCCGGAGGAGCTAGTTTGAAGCAAATCGATGAACTCAAACGTCAAGTGAATGCAGCGGAGAAAAAACTTATGGAAACAGATGTAAGTGACACCTGTTCATTTCGATGTCAATTTATCGGTTTGCCCTGAACGAACAGTAAATGCGAAATCGAAAAAAACTACAGTTCCATAATTACCAAAAGTGGAATGTGGAAAAGCCTAGACTTATGACCCACTTCTATTTCCGGAAACTTTATGCACGAATGTAATATCTTAAGCAGGCTTTGACTTTCTCGCATAATATAATTTAGTTCTCTTGGTCTGTCAAAGCTCACCGTTCATTGAAATTGATTATCAGTGCGCAGGAAAGAGAATTTCTGGTCAATTTGTTTCCATTGAAGAAATAGTTTTTTTTACGTAGGACAGATTTAACGAAAAACCGAAAAATAAAATCTCATTTTAAAGAGGGAATTCATCGTGTATGAAACAAGTCAAGCATGAAGTGAAAAGCTAGAAAGCACTGTACAACTATTTACACCTGGTCTCCTCTGCAGTTCGAATCTATCGAGGTGTGAGGCACGATTTCCGCAAAAAGCTCGCACAGTTCGGTGTCCATATCTTGTAAATGGAAAATAGAAAACGGTCTGATCAGCTGCCCGGTGGTCGAGTGGCTAACCTGTTTGCGTTCTGCTTGTGAGACCCCGGGTTCGATTTCAGCTGGGTCGTCGTATTCGCACAGCTAAGGAGACCCAACAAGATCGAGACAGGAGTACAAAGCTTCCTGGCTTTTCGTTTCACGCCTCACTTGTTCTGTACACAACGAATTTCCTTTTGGAATGGGATCAAATTCTCCTTTACCCTCAAGCAACATCTGATTTATTGAAATCTGGAAGTGAAGTAAAGGTTTTGTTGAAATTAGATGTTGATAAGGATGAATATATTGATACCGATTTTTCCCAATGCAGCTTTCAGACATCACTGCTTCAAGCTCAAGATATCAGATTATCGGTTTCTGGCTGACCTTGAGCTTCTCGTCACTGAAAAGGTGGTCTCTTCCATTACTCGTCACATCAAGAGTTGTATTAAATCATGTCACGTAGGATCCTCAATCACAAAATTGCTCGGTCCGGTGGGATTTAGTTACGACATTGAAGACAATCACTGCGGCCTGGTTTGATGTACATTTTAATCATGTTTTTCACCACGTGCTGTATTGGTCGTTTTACACTTTAAGCAATTACCACTCACCTTAGTGATTATTATGCATCGCAAGTGTCTGAAGACACACTATACTTTTCTCTACAATGTGATTCCGTGAATATCAAGCGCAGGTACCCAGACCTTGTTCTGATAACCCGGAACCCTACACGTAACGTGCAGATTACCAAATCAATTCCCTCGCACAGACAAAGGCAATAATGAAAGAACATTATTTTTTTAGGAAAACTGGCAGAAATGTTACACATTCTACGTCCATTTATCATGTAATACAGTCACCGGAAACAGCAACAAAGGGTGCAATGTGTTCTTGATGGTTGAACAAAATCTGTCACAACGATGATAACAGCTGACCCAGTTATTTTTGGATATCAGATTCAATACCATCGGGTCATTCGAAACTCGAGTCACGAACAGATTGTGCCACAGCAAATTGTTTCATTACATGTTTAACCGTTACTGGGAGAGGAATCTTTTGAAGCATCCACAAGGTAGGCTAATTAAGTATATCCAATCATGATGCAACGACTAAACGGACAATTGTTCGTTACTCTGGCTATTTTGTTGCTTGGATGAGTCAATGTCAGGGTAGCGCACTAAAAATGACACAAGGGCTCTGAACGAAGATGTGGACAAACGGGATAAACCATTGAACCTCGTCATACGGACACCAATCCGTGTCTGTGTGCCGATCCCAGAGATTTCCTTTAGTTTAGTTTAATTATATTAGTGACCGTAAAACAAGTCTATTGTTGGTTGATGCGTTTGTGTATCGGTAATGGCTCAGCTAGACGCTCGTCAAATATGCAGTTAGTGATGTGTGTACACTGACTTTCATTCAAACAGCTGAAGATTACCAAACCAACTGCTTTGTTTTCTACTGTAGACCTTTCTGTGAATGCATTTGTATTGGTCAATCACAAAATCAACCGGTTAACGTTTCTTCGCTCACTATTTCAAAACATTGCACTACACAGGAACAAATGAAGAGAGAGATTGAAGATCGGGAAACCTTAGAAAGTGAAAATATGCAATTACACAACCGCATCGCCGCTTTGGATCGCCAATTGCGCAGAACTCAAGACGAATTCGATGAGGCAATGACTCGTCGAGATTTGGCCCACCAACGTAAATTGAAGGAACTAAGTGATCAGCTTGAGGAAGAAATACGCAAAACATCCCGACTATCTACGCAAAACCGGGATTTGGAAATGCAGTTGACCGAATTACGCAATGTGGCCGAACCTGATGAGGATATCTGTAAGTTAATTTTCATGAATTTGCATCACCTTCGTGATCAACCCTGATCAGAATTAAAGGCTGTTTCATGTGTGTACAGGTTAGGAAGTAAAAACAGCATTACTCGTACAGTTCACTCATCAGAATTATACCTAAAGCAGTGGCAGTGATAGTGATTGTGGCGGTAGTATTAGTAGTGGTGCAATGTGCTACTGATGAGTAGCATGTTTGGATTGTGCAAAAGCATGCGATCAGCGGTTTCTCACAAGCATAAAAAATGGACAAGACTTGCTAGAGCGAATTGGTGTGTTCAAAATTGTAACTACAAAAGGTCTATCGTCGAACCGTTTCCCCAATTATCTTGCCTCCTGCTGTAATTATGGTTGACCTGTTCCAGGTGAGACGTTTTGTTCTATGTAATCCAGTTTACCCATACTCTTATCCTTGTTTTCGTGTAAACGATCTCTCCTCGTCCGGCACTTTCTTGTGGAATTATAGCAGCAATGATAGTAGAGTAACAGTAGCAGTAGTTATACTCTAAACACATTTCCAGACTGTTTTATAACGTTCGGGAGATAAAAATGAACCTTGTTTTTGAAGGTGATGGTTGTAAAATCCAATGGAAAAAAGTATGAAGACAAAAATGTTTCAGTTTTACCTGTTTCTCGAGCTTGGTGATTTATTTGAGAACGGTTCGACCCCCATGGTGACATAATCAATGATTTTGGAATGACCATGATCGAGTGTTGTAATTTCAGCCATCGACCTTTAGGAAGCCAGTTTGTCGTTCAGCCACCATCTCTCGGCTTACAATTGCTTATTCGACTCTCTGCTGTTGCAGCCAAGGCATTGATTTACCGGGGCGTGCTAGGATAGAAGGAAGACTGTTCTGCGCCAAAACCACACTATGGCTGAAAATGGACACTGAAAGATCAACCAGTCAGTCAGCTGATCGAAAGCGTTGTACACTCAATTAAGTGATGGACAAGCCAAGACCAGTCAAATAAACTGTGACTACATCACAAAAGTGCATGAACGTGAACTCTAAAACTTTCTTGTCATGTCTGCCGGATCGGGTCTCTGATCCGTCTGGTTCTCTCCGTTAGACGTGCTCATTGGTGGGGTCTACATGAGCCCAACTTGACTGCTGTGGTTTTGACTGCATTACATTTGCATCTTTCCGGAAAACCCAAACCTGACTCGTTGAGCCAAAACAAACGACTTTTGTCATCATCCTTTTAGTCCAATTTGTAATGTCTGATAACTGTGATTTGTTTTTCATATGCAGCGAAAGGTTAAAACAAAGCGATCGGCTTGCCCCAACAGATGCACGGACCATTCGGGAGTGTGTGAAAAGGGCTTGTGAGTTGCGATCACGGTTTGTCTTTTGACGCAGTTTGGTCGGATAACAGGGTGAATGAACCGCAGCAGAAAATTTTACTTATCTGAATGTTTCCGGCCTAATGAATCACCTGATTCTACTACTGTTTGAGGCTCACGTAGATCCCACCAACAAGCACACCTACTCAAGAGAACCAGACTGATCGGGACCTTACCCGGCAGACAGGACTGGAAAGAGTTGAAGTCTACGTTTTTGCGCTTTTGTGATGTGGTCCAAACTTGCTTCGAACTGTCCATCACCTAATCGAGTGCAGAACGCTTTTTATTGGCTGATTGACTGAATGATCCTTGGGTGTCCATCCTCAGAATTACGGTACAAATAAAAGCGGATATATTCTACGCAGTAATTTCAACGCTATTCGCAAGTTTCATTTATAGGATTACTCTAGGTCCCCGATAAAAAAGCATGGCATGACTAAGAATAAAAGTTGTTCTCAGGCAAACCGTTAGTATACGTACTTCGATCACCATCAAAGTGAATTTTCCACTTTAAAATTAATTTTTAGTCCACAGCCATGTATATTTCTTGAGGGATCTTCATTCATCTTCGAAGCGTCATGGTTTCGTGTTCGCAGTGTAATACCCGAATGGATGATTTAAGATCGCGCTTACAGGTAATTTGTAAAACCAATTCAATGCTTCTTGGTTGGAGTCAACTCTCTACAGTGCGTACAACTGGAGAGATGATGATAAGAGAACGATAAAACATGGTACCACTTCTTGCGGTGTATGTGAGGAAGTGGCTGAAATTGTTGGTCTGTGATGATTGTAACTCGAAGGAAACAAGTACACTCAGCTTTCGCCTTACTGTGAGTGGAAACTGAGGTCACGTTTCCGTCTCGTGATCCGTCACAAAACAGGTGACAACTACTTGATAGTTCATGCAGTTGGTTTCCGGTTCGCACAGACTAACAGGCCTACAATAAGACTCCTAGCACTTATTGTCTCATGAATATCGCATTTCTCCGAATCGAACCGATATAGCTTAATTGGTTAGTAAAGTTAATCCAGACATATTCAATCGAGTGCCTTTAATAGCAAGTTATAAATAAAGCCAAAGTTTATTATGGGTGATTTAACATAACTAAAGCTTATCATGCCCCATAAGATTTTTACAGAACCTTTTGAATAACTTCACAAAGAGAAAATAACAATGATAATAATGTGCGTGATCACTCACGGATGTTGAAAGTTTAAGTGTTCCAATGCTGAATCAAGTTGTGATTTAAATAGTTCAACTGTAGGAGCACACACTACATCAGATGGGAGAGAATTCCATACGCCGCACAATCTGACTGCAAACGAGTGATGCCGGCGATCAAGGTGGCTGTTCTGGGTCTTTATCTTTAGTGGATGCCCTCTGAGGTGATCATTATGAGATAAAGTCAGCAGAGAACGGCAAGGGTGGTTTGGTTGATGCAGTATGTGATATGAAAATGATAACCCTTAGAACAATGGGAAGTAGGAAAACGATGAAGATTGATTCAAAGTCACAGGTGTCTTCAGTTGGGTGGTTATCATTGCCATGCAGTACACCTCAAGAAGGTGACAGTGGTCAAGCGGTTTGGATTGCCATCACGTCATTCCAAAGATAGCGTGTTTTAACCCAACCACCACCATCACATAGAAGTTTGTGGATTGACTGCTTCTGGAAAATTGGTTTGGGTGATTGCATAATCAATACAAAGGATGAAAGTGGTAAAAAAAATGGAAAGCGGAAACATAAGTGATTGTGAGATGAACAAAATCGGGTATTTACTGACGTTGCGAGACAGCCGAAACAACGTTCGCTGCTTTGCTACTCGATTGGCAAAAGAAACTTGCTCACAATCCATTCCATTGATTGGGCAGCATAAACTGGCATAATCAACTTGTCCACATTACTGAGATTCAGTCTTTGATGCTTTCTTCAGATGCGATTCGTCTTGTTTGCTGACATTTTGCGTCAGTGATTAAATTTCTGCCATAAATTACTAGGTTATTCTTATAGATAAATTTGAGTTCAAAATGCAAGTGCTACGTGATGGCAAGCTTCTCGATCAATTTATTTGGATACGTGTCATCGTTTTAAGGAAACAGTAGTTCCAAATAACCTCTGCTCTGTATACGCAAAATTCTACAGTACACACTACATTTTGACAGATTAGCGGAAGTAGAATGAGCAGAGAAAAGGTCCACAAGACCTGAACGAAAAAGATGCGGTCGATAAGTGTTCTTTGCACGTGACTGACCGTAACTGTGTCGAGTGAATGAGACCGCAACATTGATCAATTTCAAGCAATCAGCCAACGTGTGGTGTAAGTTGTGTGTGTATGCAAAAACACATAGATCGACCACTGTATGGATCACCTCGAAGGCTTGTTATTCGTGAACAGAACATGATATTTCTTATCTTCGTGTAACCGACTGGTCACAATTTAACCCCCCTTGGATTGAAGATGACCTCAACCAGATGAGAAAACAAAGTTGAGCATCACAAAAGCCTTTTTCAAAGGTGTTTCTTCACTGAATCGAAAAGTCATCTGACTGGGCC